TTCTCTTATAGGGTGGGAGCATCTGCCTAAATTCATAAACTGTGGATTTTTTTCCCCCTGTTTTTCTAGTACTTCTAAGGATTTTTTTCTCTATTTAAATACTAAGGGTTATTTTCCCATCCTCAGAAGATTTATTATCTTGTTTTTCATTTTCTGTTCTGAGTATGTGTTTGACACATCTTTAGTTATTAGAATAGAAGCCTGACACTGTAGGAACAGAAAATGTTTGCCTGCATTACATTTCACATTATAAATGGTTCTTGTTCTTTACTGTGCAAACAGGCTCCTTGAATAATTTTACGTTACGCTGTTGAGAACTGCGGTATGCCATTTGCTAGTAAATCAGTATTTCTTACAGCAAACTCTCTATGCTTTGTCAGCCACTATATCTAGGAAATAAAATCTAATAAAAAAAAATCAAAACATGGAGCATTTATGGCTGATCTTCCTGAAAAATTTATGCTGTTTTGAGTATAGGAACCAAACATGGGTTTTTTTGGGTAGTGTCCAGTACTAAAGCTTTGAGATGTACAGCAGAACATGCAAAACACCTGCCTTTTTGCTGCATTTCTGGTATTTGCAATAAAATATACTCACCAGTTACGGTTTTCCTTTGAGTTCTTGACTTTTGGGGAAGGCTCAGCTCCTGAAAGTGGTGGCTAAGGAAAGTTTCAGCTTATTTTCAGATTTTGATGGAATTGCAGTATTGTTAACACTGAGCACTTTGAAAAATAAAAAAATTAATCAGTCCTCCTCCTTAATATTAAAGATCATGAGGAATACCTTAAATGTTGGACGGGTTTTATTTGCTTTCTGGTCTTGGACTTTTGGGTACAATCACATCCTGCTTTCCAGCTTGTCTTCACCAATTAATAGATGTAGTAGCTCTTTTTATATGATTATTTTAAGTTTTTAAATGGCAGCTGAAATACGTTGATTCCAGCAATAGCTAATATCAAAAGACTTGCCAACTCTTGTATTTTTATGGCAGTATTGTGATTCTGTGGGGTAAGCCTTTATTGCATTGCTCAGAGATGCTTATTTTGAAAGGGAAGACTAGTTGGAAGTAGCAAGGTGTGAAACCCCCAGAAAAGCAAAATAGGGAGTGTAGAGGCAGGGTCTGTCAGAAGCAGGAAGGACTGTGATGTATTATCCTAAGGGTTTTGTTTGTTTGTTTTATAACAGATGTTTTGCAAGGTCATGTGGATTGAAACACTGTTGGATGCAAACTTAAAATGATGTTGGCTGCTGGCAGCCCATTTCTATCAGGCCCCAAATGTCTCAGGTGCCTGAAAACTGCTGTTCATGTGACCTTAGTTTATTGTTGACATTTCTTGAGGCCAAGATGTGGAACAGTGTATGGATGCTGGGAGTAAGTAGTGCTATTGATAAAAACATGAGTTTGGGTAATTTTTAAGTTCTTCTGATCTTTGCTGGCCAACTTACCTTTTTGATGGAGTTGCTTGTCTGAGTTTGATTGAGTTTCTGGATCAGTACAGGGGAGTCCAGCCTTGTACACCTTCAAGTGTAATCGTACCCAGCCTTGCTAGAGGCTGAACAGCACCTTGATCTCAGGTCTCAGTTTTTCAGCACCATTTCCCTCGCCCGCTCTTCTTTCAGAGTATATACTTTATAGAAAAGTGAGAGGTTTTAAATGGTGAGAAAGGATGTCTTTTGATTCACAGGAGTTTGTTTTATAATATATCCAAGCTTCTAGACAGATCGTTGAGATGTTTCCTTGCTGGTTCAGCTTTCAAGGCTGCAATAGAATGGTGGAAGAACAGAAATGCGTGGTATCTATAGGTACAATTATGCTGAAGGTCTTTGTTTTCTGCCTTCATCCCATGGATCCTATTTAGTTCTCATTTTCTGTACAGAAACAATTTTTCCTTTTGATTAAATTAAAGGAAAAACTGAGCTTATAAAATTTGGCTATTACAGTTTTTTGAATACGCCTTGAAACAGAAGCTTTTACGGTACTGTAAATTTGAATTTTCTCATGCTTTTTATCATCAAATGAGCTTGATAAGTTTGATATCATATTCTTCACTGTGATAGCAGAAGATAAAATCTGGGCATTTCCTCCCAGTAGCAGTTTCTTAATGTCTGTTGTCATCATGGCATGGCAACCTGGTCCTGCCTGTGGTGTTGATTGTTCATCAAGGAGCACTGCCGGGTTTATATTCCCTGCCAGGTAGCTCACACCTGTACTGAGCCTTATCACAAGCAAAGAATCTCACTCATAATCTGAATGGCTTGGGCAGGGATGGTATTGAGGCCACAAATTCAGCTCTTACTATGAAGTGCTGAGTACTGAGCTCTGTGTGCAGCCAGGCTTCTGGTGAGCACTGCGGACAGAAAGCACTCAAGTTGGAGGGATTACAACGTGCACATATTGCTGTGCTGCATAGACTCTGAACACAGGAAGATTGTCTGTGCCAGCTGTTTGATACCGAAACTTTATCTTTTTGCTTAAAGGCTTTGTGATAAGGTGGGGCTTTCTTTGGATGCTCAGTGTCTCTTGACACAGAGATACATGCTGGATCTGAAAAACTGGAGCTAGATGTCTAGATTTGAGCACTACTGAAATGTGAGGAATGTGCAAGATATTTAATTCTAAGCTTTAGTTTGGTTATTTCTACTGCAGTCTGTTACTAAAACAAAAACCTAAACAAATCATGGCAAGATGGAGTTCATTAGTTCAAAAAATGGAGTTGGAAATGTTGACGAATATATTTGTGATGTCCCAGTACGATTGCTCCATTTCTCTATTTGCAAGGCTTCTACATTGCAGCCTCATCTAATCCAAAGCACAGCATGACTCCTTCCTAGGACGAGTTCCTTCTATCATATCTCTCCCTCCTCTCAAATCCCTTCAATCAGCTTTCAGTAAAATAGAAAATAGGTTTTATTACTTATTAAAAGTTTTATAATGGAGGCCTGGCTTATCTTCCCTACCTTCTGTCACTGGCAAACTTGGATCAACAACTGAAAGATATTTGTCCAAAAAATATAGATTGAAGCATTGTGGACTTTATGCTCTTAGTAACTACTCTACAAGCTTAACAATCCCAGGAGAAGCTTCAGAAAACACAGACCACCCAAACAAGTAGTGGAAACAACCCCAACACCACAAGTTTAAAAGTTATAGTTCACTGTGACAACTCAAATATATTAAATGTGTGTGACTTGTGTTGTTTTTTATTTTTTATTAGCTAGGTAAATTGAAGGTGACTATTTTGCTTTATTTCAGCTGCAGAATTTGACAATACTAATCTACAATGTAATAGTCACTGTGTGACATTTCTGTGGTTGTGTTGTGAATTTTTCAGATCACTGCACAGTGTTAAGCTGGCATATGGAAGTAATTTGAAATGCTCAAAATGAAATAACTCAAGGATCAAGTACTATATATGTGCTAATAGGATCCTGGGCCAAGGTCATCAGATCAGAACTCTGCTACAAATACACCATCACTGTGTCACAGCCCACCTAGGCTAACCTCTGGTTTTTTGCTAGTGATTTCTCTGAACCTTTCACTGAGCAATGGAATTGTTCACAACTTTGGATTCATTACAGGTTTTCATCTACCTGTAATGTACCTATTTTGAGAGTCCCCTGAATGCCAGCCCATATGTGTTTTCACTTTCCTGATAACTTTCCCTTTTATGTCACAGATGAAGTCACACAAGTTGCAATTTTTCCAAACCGCTGTGTGCAACATAGACTCAAGAGCTTCCTGTCCGATGCTACCTGCACTGTTCTCTTCAGCCAAAGATGAAATAATGTGTTTGTCATGTTAAAGCTAGTTGGCCTGCAACATCTATAACTTCTTTACAGTGGTTCTGTTCCCTCACGCTTCTTGTAGTGCCTTTTTTTCCATTTGGTATAAACAATTCATTTGTCAGGCATGGTACTTTCAACTTAATCTTATTTTTCTGTGAACTTCAATATGTTATGGGTTACAAAGTGAGCATTAAGAATGGAATAGCATGAGGTCTGCCGCCTCTCCAAATGAAAAAAAAAAAAAAAAAAAATCCCTTAATATGCAAGAAGGTCAAACATGCACTATGTGAATTTGTTAAACACATTTATTGAGTTGTTGACAGTAACCAAACACAGTGAATGACCATTATAAACAAGAAAAAAGGCATTCGCTTTTACTTGGTCAGCTCCTGCTTTATCTGTAAAGAAAAGATATCCCTTTCTACCACCAATTTAGAGAATTGAATTTGTTTGTCCCAATAATGGATTCATCAGGGAAAATGGCAATTTTAAACTGAGATATGTTTCAACTGCTTTCTGCTTCTGAGCCCAGCTCCTATTAATGATGGACCATAAAGTGGAGTTAAAGTTATACTAGCTTTAAGTGCATTCCCAATTGCCATTAAGTCACTTAAATTGGCTGCAAACAAATAAATGAAGTAAAGAAAAAAATAGAAAAGAAAAAAAAAAAAACAAACCACAAATAATGCAGCCACAAGTAGTAGAGGCTTATTATTTCAGAAAGGAAAAAATAAATCAAAGCAAGTTTACTAAATTAATTTGTTAAACACATTTATTGAGTTGTTAATAGTAACCAACACAACGTATGACCTGTTGTAAAACAAGAAACAGAAAACGGATCAATTCTGATTTTGGCAAATCTTACTACAGATATGTGACAGAGGGAAATATTTCAATTTCCTTTATATTCTGCAGTGATATATTTACAATACTTATCTCTCAAAGTCTGTCCCTTTTTTAATTAAATGAACAGAAAGATCATAACCTAGAAATAAGTTTCCTCTACAGTCTTCTTGTTCTGTCTTGTCAGTATCCATTAATGATAGTGAAATAATGAGAGCTTTCCAAGGATTACTTGGCACACAGAACACAACTCCACTTTGATGCTGTACCGAGCCACCTTTTTTCTTTTTTTTTTTTTTTTTTTTTTTTTAATTTGAGGGAGAGGGGAAAAGAGGAAGAATTTCATATGTACAAAGGCTGAAAAGTCTTTCTTTGTGAAGCTAAATTAGTTCAGGAAAACTGTATCAAAATTGTAATCACATTTACTGTAATACTGTCTTTTAACTTTTTTTTAATTACCACCGATCATATGAATGAATTTTTAGTTGAGTTTCCAACATGGCAGCTCTTTTCCTACAGCACATTTGCACATGCTGTTGCGAACCCAAAGAGAGTGAGGTTGGGTGCGTTCTAGATTATGTCAATTCACAGTAGTAGCATTCCACTGAGGTTATGGGTTCTGCCTGCTCTGTCTTACTTACTTGAGGAGCCATTCATTTACTGAAAGGAAAGAGAAACAAAACAAAAACAATTATGCTTTAATAAACTCCAAATATGAAGCTGGTTGGATTTAACACTGTATTAGGCACTTAAACAAAATGTCTTGAAAAAGCCAGGAGGTTCAGTTTCCTCCTCTTTCTGGAAAAGAATGAAGTCTGAATGACTGTTTCTTTGAAATATTGCAACTCAGTCATCAGCCTTGTTGCTGAAAACATGCTTTCTTTTCCACCCTTCAGTAGTACTCCTTCATAACCATAATATTACTGATAAGAAGGCACTTTTACATCATTATCACACGTAATATAACTGTGTGTGCATAGGCTAAAAAATGCATAAGACACATTACAACTCAGCTGAGCCCCCAGCAGTGGCAGTGTAAGACTTCACCAGCAGGTGACTGGGTTGGTTCATTTGTTTAATAGCCATTGCGTAATACAACACTTTCCAATGTGGGTGTTTTATGGTGGTGCACCTCTAAAGTGAAATTTATTCTTTTGTTTGAGACCAGCTGTCATCAAGACTAGCTCATCCCCCTTTTCCTTTCCAAGGTGGGTAAAACAGAGCAAAATGCACTTTGTAAGGTGACAAGACTTTAAAATGAGGCTAGGAAACTGAAGATCTGTCCTATCTGCTTTTTAAAAAAAAAACAAAACACCAAAACAAACAAAAATTAGATGTCCTAGAGTGTTTTTTGTCATGTTTTTCCTGCATGTTTCTGGGCAAGTTTCCTCATACGTATCAAATATGTAATGTTTGACTCATACCATTAGTCCTCCACATCTGGAGTTTCATCTGTGTTTATTTGTGTGCTTTGTTATGCACTTGGTTTCTCAAAGAAAAGAGCTCAGTGTAAGCATAGAAAGGATTATTCTGGAGGTAGAACGTACCTCTATACTGTAGTTTCTGTGCTCTATTGTTTGGACAATCTTTTCCCTGTAAACTAAAGTTGATATTAGTTCGGATACATCGATTGTTGAGAGGCTGGACTGGTCTGAAATTGTCGCTCATGCTCAGAAATATCTGTGATGGCTGATTCTGGCTTAGCAGTCGTAAAGAATGCATCTATACAAAATACAAAACAAGGATTTTTAGTACTGGTCTTTCCTGTAAGTAAACAACATACAACACTATTAAATAGACTAGTTAATAAATGAAAGTTAAACAGAATTTCAGTGATTTGTAGTCAGAGGTGGGTTGAAAGAGTTAACTTGAGGTAAAAACGTTCCTTCTGTGGTCCTCTGTTTCTGAGCCCCATTTTAAACGAAAGTAACTAGTTTTGTGTGGAGTAAATGAAAATGGTATGAGATGTCCTTGGCTGATCAGGAAACAAATGGAATTGACAGTACTAGATGGCAGCAGGCTGCTGCAGAGAAAATGAACTTGACGAATAACAAAAGCTAATTTCCTAAGTTGTAGCTATTAGTGCAGTTTCAGTTGAGAAGACACGGTTTTGGATGATGGTATTTAAGAACCAAGTATGGCCAGTCAGGATGGAAAGGATAACTGACAGTCATGATGCTGAAGTCATGAAATTAGTGATGTTAAAAAGTGAAATCTTCCTTCCATTAACAGGTCCATCTTGATACTGTCTGTATTGTGTCTACAGTGTTTGTACGGTAGACTCTGGCCTTCTTTTGAGATGGTTTTATGGATCAACAGAGAGGGAATTGCTGAATTATCCAGGATTTTCAGTGTGCCCAGCAGTGGTTGGATGCAAACTGCAAGCAGACAGCAACGGGTCTTACAATAATTACGCAAGTGTGCTAGAAGCGTGTTAATTCATTCAAGTCAACCAAAACCTTTCAAACTTTTTACTGGAAACTGGAGAGAGGAAAAAAAACCCACCCAAACTGTGATTTGTAAATTAGAAACCCTCAAAATATTTTGGTTTAAAAATATAAAAAGAAAATATTTTCCATATCAGCGTAGAATTTAAGATGTTTGGTAGTGGTATTTAATGCTTAAATGGGGAAATCCAGTAGCTGGGTTTTGCATACGGAAAATCTTTAACAGCTTCCAGGGTAAACTTGAGCTATGCGTTACTTTTTCAGTCTGAGTACATAATGTAATTAGTAAGTATTCCATGAAATCAATTTGCTGCACTAATAATGGAGGATGTAACTAACCAGTAAAGTGTGACAAGAAGTATCATGAGAATATAACCCATAGGTGTACTAGCATAGACTCTAGAAATATTCTAATCCTTGTTTTGTACATTTAATGTTGTAACTAAAAATGTTGCTTGTAGGAAAACGTTCAGGTCCCCTGCTTGAAAAGTTCAGAATGTACAGCATGTTTGCCTGTGCTTAGCTGTGTCATTCTCCCAAATTACCCATTCAGAAAAGAAACAAAGTGTTTCCTCTGCATCTAGACAAAATTGGACAGAAGGAATATCACAAAGATAAAATATCTCTCAGGCTTTTTAAAGTCATCTTATTTACAATGTTGGTATGGTTTTAAATCCCAAAGTAATATTTAGGGTTGTTTTATCATTCCTCATTTCATTTCTCAGGCCAGATTGCTTCTGCTGCATGCTTGGGACAGGCAGATGGCAGTTCAAGTATTCCTTCGGGATTCTAGTATGCAAGAGAATAGGTTGCAGTTCAGCTCACAGCTCCGTAGGCAACTCACTGATGGAAACGCTGGAGAAGACTGCAATTGGTGTTAAACTTGTTGTTTTCTGATGTTAGACCTTGAATTGCAAGTTGTACAGAAATGTAGTCTTTATGACTCTTCCACTGGCGTGTTTCCTCAACAGCATAATTTGACTACGAAATTAATTGTGTGGTCTTTTGCATAATTTATCCTGCTTCTTTCTAACAGTGGCTCCAATGTGTCAGTCTGGTTTTTCTGAAGATATTTGCAATGTCTATCCTGCCATTTTATACCAGAAAGCACTAGCTGATTTTTTTTCAAGAAGGCCCCATATACTGCATCTCTGTCACACCAATGTGCTATCGACATGTATTTAAATGGCCACAAGTGTCACTCACAATTTGTCTGTTTCTTTCTAACCTAAGAATTGCCTCTGCTATACTTAATAATCTCAGTTATTTATGTACAACACTGCTATACTTATTTTAGAATGCCCATATGTCTATTAACGGAATCGTAGAATAATTTTGTTTTGGAAGAGACTGCTGGAAACCATTTGGTTCAAATCCTCACTGAAAGTAGGGCCCACTTCAAAGTACGTGTGTGTGTGTATAGATACTTAGGGAGCTCTAAATAGTTAATATTTTTATTTTGGCAAAAACCCTCTTCAATGCTTTTTGCAAACTGTATAAATTGCAGACAGAGATCCCTACAGCAAAAGGTTGAATCTAATTTTGTATGTAAAGCTACCAATATATCTGTTTAAAATATTCTTTTGTACCTATACTAGATCGAGCAATTTTTTTATTTATTTTACCTGCATCCTTGTTATGTAGACAGGTTTGTTCATAATTATCCAGCTTGCTGTTTCATAGCAGGGTGGAATTGTCATTGACCCATCATACGTAATGAAACTAGACGTCTCTGGATAAAGTTCCTCAATATTAAGCCCCTGTAGTAAGTAAGCATCATCTGGAGAATAAAGAAGGAAAACTATTGAGATAAAACAATAGCTTCACAAAAAGACCCCACTCCTTTTATGTACAGCCCTTATTCCAGAACATCATAATCAGTTTTACCAAAATATGAGGTGTAATGAACATACGTTTCTGAATGCTCTAGCAGTTTGGACAAGAACAAGTAACGTGAATTCACTAATCCTTCTTGCACTGAGTTCTACTCGTAAATGCCCCTGCACACGTTCCATGAGTTTAGCACAAGGATTCACAGTGAAACTCTGAATCACGTTTAAGAACTGGAGTTAAAAGCTTCTTGAAGTTGCAGTTATTGATTTAGATGCAGCAGTCTTTGGAGAATGTCGACTTACCATATTTTGGAGTGATTAACAATTTTCCCTCAACAAAGCCTTGGGAAGGCCAAGAGTGTTAAAACTTAATTGCCCGTCTACCACAGGAGGAAGTTAAGGTTAACGCATGATAATAAAGCTGCTCAATGAAGCCTGCTGGCCTTTCATGTGCACAGTGGGGGTGGATGCAGTGCAAGCTCACTCAGAATGCTAAAATCAGGGTGGAGAAGTACGCTGGAAAGCAGCTTACTAGGGTCCCTGCTTTTGTCGTAAGTCTCCCTGGGAATTAATGAGGTATCCCTCTGCAACGGAATTCACTCTGTGGACGTGTACCAAAATATAATGAGATAGGGTTATATCTTTCAAAAGTCATCAGAGTTCCTCAGCCTTTCTATACTATGTGCACTATTTCCCTTGTGTAATGCTGGCGCTACAATTAGGAGTTCCTTAATAGGAAATACTCAGGCATATACACACTTCACTGCTTATATGCTACTGCTATCGTGTATCTTGGAAAGCTGCATGGTGACAAGATGTAATGTTGTGACATCTCTTTGCGTGCTTTCACTTGCATGTAGTGTGTTCAATATGGTTCATTTGCAGAGCGAGCGCTAAAATGCAGGCAAGGAAAGCTGCATATTTAGGTGTGTTTCCCTTTTCAATACACAAGATGAACTGGCACTGGTTTTACTGGAAGGCAAGGCAGGGAGCACAAATAAAATAGAAGACACTGCTCAGACTAAAGAAAAATGTTGAAAAGCATTTTTTAAGTCAATGTCAATAATTTAGGCATTTCTGTTGGATTCTCTGATGTTTTTCATGTACCATTCACTGTAAGTTTAAACAGCTTTTGGTTTTGTGTGGGGGTTTTTTGTTTGTTTGGTTGGTTTTTTTAAAGCTGATAAACAGTTCCTTGGCCATTGGGAGAAGATTGTAAATGGAGGCAAGGAAAGAAATATAAACAAACAAGAAAGTGTACAAGAACTAAAAAGAAAAAGAGTAATTTAACTTGAATTTAACATATTATAGCTGAAGAGCAAAACTTGCATGAGTAAAATGCTTGTCTTGTAATATCTAAGGAAAAAGAAAGGACTGCGGACTAGTGACTTGAGCAACGGAAAATCAAAGAAAATAAGCAAAGCAAATGTGACCATTTTATTTTGACAGAGTGCAGTCAACATGCCACAGGCTTTTGGGGTAGCAATATAAGTGGCTACAGTACCAGTTAAAGTGTCAAGGTGAGAGTCTAACGTTTATACCACGTTGACCAGTGCCTTACAGTTATTTCATATTTTAAATGTTTGTTATTTTACAAAATATAATCTTGGCATGTCCTTTCAGGTTTGTCAGAAATACAGCCTTCTGCCATGTTCTTGCACTTTGAGCCAGGGTTATTACCATGCCGTATAGCTGCATCCGCAAGTAGCGGGGGAAAGTACTGTTAGTGTCTTCTAGGTGGCTGTTACCTTTTATAACATGCTCAGCCTTCACTGGCCCATGGCCTGGGATACAGAGTCTTTCTACACCCAAAATTTTCCAGACAGAAGTGCGAAACCATTGCTGTAGTATTAAGAGTCAAAATGTTGTTAAATTTTAACAGCTAGAGATGACTCAATACACCTGTGTCCTATTCATTAAAAACATTATTTGCAGTGCAGTGGTAATTTTGCTAGAATTACAGGAGAAAAGAATGAATGCATTTTTTCAAGCCAATGCCTGTTTTCAATGAGTCATCTTACATTTTTCCCTTTCCCACATGAACATCTTGTTCATTATTTATGAACCATGGAGAGCGGTGTGTTAGCTCCAAATGGCACCGAGTCAGTCAGAATAGATAGCTTCAAACTCCAAGGACTAAATCTGCTTTCTCTCATCCATATTGACTTCGGCTGGGCTAAAATGATTTGAACAAGGTAGAATTTCCCTGAAGTGTTTACTAGGAGATGGAAAGCTAACTAAAGATTAATACAGATGAGAGATATTGATGGGATAGAGATATATATCTCTATCTATTTTGTGTATGCTACATTCAAGTTGACTAATTTGTATTCAGAACAGTGCACAGATTATTAACAATAGGCCTACTTATCAAATGAAAGATATAGAAACAGATTTACTGCTGGCATTAGTGCAGGTAGTCATGGGGGTTTTGGATTTGCCTCACATTGCTTTAATACAGAATGTAATTCATTATTTTGCTATAGGTGTCTAAATTTTGTCTGTGGATTTAGTGTTTAGTCATTCTCAGAACACAATAATGCTCTGGAGGTTGAATATGGCAAGTAACAGTGTGGGAGCAGTGTGGGGCATGGTCCTTCTACTCATTCAGGCAAGGCCAACGTCTGCCAGTGCTCTCAAGATCAGGAGAGATGCTCTCAGTCTTACTGAGCTCCAGATCAACTGCTTAGGTTATGTTGTTTGCATACTGAGGACCTACAAAATGTGTGGCCATCTCCCACACAAGCACCCAGTAGTGAAGTGGCTCCAAACCTGGTTCATTACCTCCATCTTCACTTGGAATATGTTTAAGGAGAGACAGCGAATTATGCTGTGCGTCAAAATCCATCAGTTGTGATTAATGGAAAATCAGAGGAAAACATCACTTCAGGAAAAGGGGAAGATGGGGTGAATGAAATAATGAAATTAAAGAGTTTGGCCAATTAAAAGTAGTATTTATTCATGCCTGTATATGGCATGAAATAGAAGTCTGAGAAAAGACTACAGAATAAGCATGTGGTTGTCAACATTTTTCCCATGAACAGCTCTGCTGTTTCCCTTTCCCCACATCTTGTTAAAGGTTTCCCATTCTGGAACTGAAACAGAACTGGTGGGTTTGCACTAATACTAGACTGCAACACATTAATGTCTTGTCTTATATTTATTGCAGGTATGTAGTTCAAAATGGTCAAAATCACCACGTGTGATCTCTTCCCAGTAATAAACTTCCTTTAATAAACCCATTCAGACTTTACTAGCTTCTCAGCATCATTCCTATCTATAGCACACATTCTGTTTATCTTGGTCTGCTTGTGCCTTAGGGTGATTTCTGAACTCATGAACTCTTCTCTATACAAATTAGATTTCATTAGATTTCATATTCATTTACATAAAGGCCTTGACTCTGACAATTTTCTTAGCAAATGATGGAAATTCTTTTATCCGTAGATTTGTAATAGGCGTGCACGGTCTCCTTTCACAGCAAGTTCTATGTATGTTCTCTTTAAAACAAAAGTATTTATAGGGAATATATTCTTTACTGAACGAAGGAAAGTCCATTTGATTTTGAAGTTCATATCATGATAATCCAAAGAGGAAAAGTACAGCTCTAATTAGATTTATAGGGTAAGGAATGTAGAGATAGTCAGTTTTTAAATCCTGAAACAGAGTTTCTCCATTTACTAGCCTTCACAAGTCACTTAGACCGAGGCTGACAGAGGCTCATTTTGAATACCTGAGGTTAGTCCCTTGGGGCCTGAGTTGAGACTGCTGAGCTTTTACTACTCGTGACGGGAACTGCAAGAGCTCAGTCCTTCGGACAACACACTGAAACATGAGCCTTGAGAAAATAATAGTCTCTTATTTCCAGAAATCTGAATCTTAAGCTTTTTCAGGATAATCTTCTAAAATTGGAGTACTTTAGCTATTTTATAGATAATGTACAAATGAATAAAGATTGAATTTGGGGAAATGGAGAATTTTGCAGCTCTTCTGCCTAGCTGAACATGTGGCAGTATTTTGGTGGAGAATGACAAGCCCAAATTTTCATATGGAGTTTTGGGAATCTAAAATGTTACTTCTTTCCAATGTTACGCAAACACTGGCTGAAAGCTAATGTAGCATAACTGTTCTGAAAGCAAGCTAACTTATCGCCTCAAATGTCATACTTAAAGAGGAATATTAAAGCAGTATTTCTTTAGAGATATTTCTATAGCTTCTGACTAAAGCCTGTTTGAAAGAACACTTGTTTCAGCTAGTTCACAGTAGATTCTTTGGGCTGTGAAAACAGAATAAAATAAGTATTTAAAATCTGCTTAAAAATTCCTTGGGGTCCATTTTACTTCACTGGAGCCATTAATATCTAAGAGCAGAAATTCCCCTTTTAATGCATTTTGCCCATGGAAAATTCATGCAGCAGTACAGATAGCTCTTAATTTTGTTGCTGTTCTTTAAAAAAAGTATTTTGGTTATGTTACTAACTGTCCTGACTCTGAACCTATGCTCCACTTATCATTTGCTCCATGCTCCTATTGAGCACACCGGGACTGGTCATTTTGTCAGCAGACTGCTGAGTATTGACTGCAGGAGTGGACCCCTAAAGCACAAGCTAAAAAACTCTAGCTGCTAAAGGCAGAATAGAAATCCTCGCAATGTAAAAGGCAAAATTAGTTTTCAGCAACGATGCTATAATCCATCATGCAAGACAACTGCAAAATTACTTTCAATAACACTTTCACGTTCCCAATTTACACTAAAAAAATACCCAGTCAATACTTGTTACTACAGTAGGTAACCCAATGCCTTGCAGAATATTATGTGCATTGTATCTACCAAGGATTTCACTTTAACAGATAAACTTGTTAGTGATAACAATGGTTAAAAATTAAAACAGTTCTGTTAATCATTGATTTCGCAGCCTATGTTATATGTTCATCTTCATGCGAAATTTCACTTAGTAAACCTAAATTAGGTGTGATGGAAATTGCATTTTCCTCCTAAAGAGGCAAAATAACCAATGAAAGGTTGTAGGATGCTGTCAACTCCACAGAGGAGGAGTGCCCACTTAGAAGTGCAGCATGCAAACGAACTATTTTGTATTGGGAAGGTACGCTTGCCTGCTGGCGTGGGTGACGGCTGGGTGCTCGCTTATGCGACAAGGGAAAGATGTTGCTGGTGCCTTGCCGCCCTGTGGAGCTGTATATCCCTAATGATGGCCTCTCCTCTGCTCTAAGCTGCCACAGGTTCTCTAATCTTTGCTCTGCTGGCCAGTCATTGTAGCGTGTGGGGCCAAGGAGTACAAAAAAGGCTGTGGCACTCATGTAAATGCATAAGATACAGCTGCTGTGATGGGAAAAATGAGGTTGGAGTCTCTTATTCATTGTGTGAGACCTGACAGGTCTGCATGTGTGTACGTGGGGGGAAAAGCAGCTTCTTCAGTGCAGGTACAGTCAGAGATCTTCTGGCTGGTCCCCAGACAGAAGCTAGGAATGTGTAATTTGGGAGTGAAAGAGCCTGAAAAACCACATACAGTCTTAAAGATGATTTCCCTTCTCCAGGACGCTGCAGCAGCACTGGTAGGCAGAAAGCTCTTACAGAACAGTATTGCTGTGTTTTTGCAAGGAATCAAGACAGGCAGTTTAAAAACTGGGCTAATCTCCTGCTTCTTCCATGCAGAGAAGATGACATTTCACACTGATGGAACAGTTGGGAAAAAATGTTCTGAGGGAATCCTGTCGCCTTCCTTTCTATAGGTATCGTGGAGAATAGAGTTTCATCACAATAGAGGCCTCTTATTTGGACCAAAGACGTAAAAAAATGTGTTAAGTGTAAGTTAAAATTAGAGAAATATTAGTGGGAAGAAAAGTGTATGTTATAGGAGAGGACAAGGAACTATCTACTTCAGAATGGCGCTGGATTGGCTCCATTGTTCAAAGTCTGTATTGTATGGCAAGACTCGGAATCTTTCTAGTGTTCTCTTGTTTGGGACTGAGTGGCTAAAATTCTGTGATTTCACTTTACGTTGGTCTCAAATCTAAACTTTTTCTTTTTACAATCCTGGCTTTGCAGGGAGGGGGAAAAGATGGCGTCCACAGAAAGAAATCAGATGATGTACTTTAGGGACGTGTATAGAAATTTCTCCAAACCTTTCCACTATAAATCTGAAGTTCAGTGACTTTTGTTGAAGTTAAATGGACATTTGACATCTCTGGAGTTTCAGATGCAAAGTTTTCCAAGTAACACTGTTATTGTAGAGTATATAGTACAATAAATTTAATTTACAGAGAAGTAAACTGAGGCAAACCCTTGTAGAATTGTGAACCAAATCCTGGAGTCCTGACAACCACTCTCATTCCAGTTATCATGAACAACTCTCTCCCAGCTTTCATAAACAAAAGCAAAATTAATGAAGTTTTATGAAAATGTTAAGTCATTGTTTACAGAATAACAAATGAAGGCTGACTTTTACAATGCTTTCCTTATTTTTTCAGTTTCCTGTGTGCTTTCTGAAAGTTAAATTCGGGTATTGTTTAACTTATTTTATTAACTTAATGCCTGCTTGGAATTCAACTGAATATTTGACAAAGGGAATAAGGTTTTCAGGAGAAGAGCTTTAATTTGTTCCAGTGAGATATATGTATTTTTCATGACTTTCGCTAAACTAGCCTAATTTTCACTGCCATTTAAACTCCCATTTTCACAAGTTCAATATACTAACATGGAATTATTTAGCATTATCAGTTAAAGGCTTTCCAAATGTGAATACAACAAATATACGTGCTATGTTAATGACCTCTTTATATATCCATTAAATGCAGCAATAGTTGAATAGAAACGTCATAACTTTTCTGTACAAAAAGAAAGCATTAGTGAATACTAAATCCACAGTTAATGATGCAGCATCTTGACATAACTTGATTTGATATAATCCAGGCTGCTCTGTATGTTACTTTTATTGCTAATAGTAGGCAGTTTCTCCTGAGCATTCTGTGTGAATACAGTATATGTATTTGTTGAGTATAATTTCATTAATTTATTGCTTGTTCAAACATAAAATAGACTTTGAAGTTCAAAATTCATCTGATGAACTGATGACCTTACTAGATTTTTCAGGTTCCCAAGTTTATCATGTAGAGTTGCTGACAATGCAAACTTTGTAATTTTTGTCCATAATGAAGTGCCTCTTGTTTCAGTGGATCACTAAATACATTATTTGATACTAAAGGCATACACCTGTTAGCTATAGTAAATTAAAAGAAACTTACTTTTATACGTTATTCTTGTTATGGTGTCTCTGTTAAGCATACGATTTAGAAATGGATTTGATGATTCAGATACCTACAGAAGAGAAAATGTACAACATCAAAATCTTCTCACAAACGTTTCCTTCCTGGAAATGTGGCTGTTCTGTGTGTGCACGCACATGCACGTACTCATTCTCTCTCTCCTGCCACTCTTCCAAATTGTTTCTGCCTTTTTTTCACTGTTGTGGAAAGAGGAAATAATTACTCAGATATTTTTCTAACAAATCTTGTTAGAAAGTTGGTATCTAAAAAAATATATCCAAAAAACCCAGGGATGGGAGACTAGGATGAATAGAAATTAATGCCTGAACACAAGTGTGAGTACAGGTTTATTCTCCAACAGCTTTGATGGGATTTGCAGGTGGTTAATACAATTAGGCAGGATTTTCATATCATATTCTATTATTTTTCTATTTACTGAGAAATATACTTTCCTTGCAGCAGACTATTTATATTGCAAATAAAATCTCTCTTGCCTTTGTTTTACATATAGGTATGAAATGCCTAAATTTCACCCACGTGCACTCACAAATATGCACACATACATGTAAAATGTTCGGTCTTCGTTAACATAAGCATACCTGAAGAGGATTTAGAGGAAAAATGATAGAAAGGACTTAGAGGCATTGTTGTTTTGCTTTTTTGGGGGGGAGGGGTGGGTGGGTGGGTATGTACTTTATCAACAATATTATTGTTGATTATCAATGATAATTTAATGACAGATTTTATTGTACTGCAAATGGCAAAACTATTATTGGTTAGAAACAAAATCAGTGTCATATTTTTTTATGGAGACGTTTTAGTAACTCTGTAGCTAGCCTTCTAATATCCTACTTATCTTTCAATTATTCTGTGATGTGTTTTTTTTATCAGACACTGGATGCTGCTGTAATACATTTAGCATTTATCAAGAATGAAATAAATTTATTTTGAAAATGGAGAACTTCACAAAATTTTTAATTAAGATTTAGGAAAATAAATGGGCTATTGGACGAACTGTAATCCAGATCTGTTTGACAGGTAGCCTTCAGGAAAATTCAGTTCAGGTTCCATTTTGTGGAAATTTGGATAGTTACTTCTCCACTTGGAAGTTTTTCTAACTACTTTGGACATTTAAAATAGAACACATCTTTTGCTGCCAGTGAGAGTGGCCTAGAGAAAAATATGGTGAGGCAGATACTAAATTTTGTTGCTCATTACAAGAGGTGTGCAACTCAGCAAGTACATGAGTGATGCATTATTTAGCTAAAATTGGCATGCTGGGCATTTTGAAGGCTTGCTTCAATTTTATCCTCTTGTGTGAATCCAAGTCAGATCATTGGGTTGTAATACAATACATTTTGGATGAAAAAAGGTAACCTAAATATCTTTCTTAAATATTAGACCTGTATAAAAGGGCAATTTTCATATATAATAATTCAAGATGCTATGTGAAATGGATATTTTAATTCTGATGTTAATGCTTTGTCAGGAACTTTACCTTATGAAATGGGATTAGAGAGTACTAAAGGGAAATAATAGATATCCAATATGTAAGGATCCAATATGATGATGACAGCTATTTATTTCAGCATTAAGCCCTTATTCAGAAATATATGCTTTTTTAGACTGATGAAACATAGATACATAATGGCAGAATATGAACAACATTTTGGGGGGGAATGCATTCTTCATATAAAGTGAGAGAAAAGGTTTCTCCAGTGTAATTGGGGAGGTTTGAGTTCAGTGCTGGATCACTGTAATTGACAGACCTAACTATGCATCTTGAACACAACAGGATGGAGACTAAAATGTGACAAAATATTCACCTGTCTTTCTAGTTCTGTGAAATGGAAGATATTAAGAGTTATACTTTTAATATTCTTTCAGTTTTGATAGTTTAAGATGTTTTAATTATCATTGTGAGAAAAACTTATTCTGCCGACTTTGAAACATCGGCATGTCTCCAAAGAGCAAACATGCCCTCTTTCCCAGGGCCTCAACCTACTAGAAGAGATTTACTTTTAATTGACTGAATAACATTTCATGAAGAAATACCAAATCTGCAAAATTAGTAACTTTTGTCATAGCCGTTAAAGTGTTATGAGTGATGTTTATGGTAGAAGGATCTCCCCCCCTTCCTTATCCCTTTTCATTTTCCTTACATTACATTGTAAATGCTTTGGAGTAGACATTGTGTGTTCAGTTCCTAGGGCGATGCTGTCTCTGGATTCCAGATCAGAGCCTCTAGACATTGCTATAGTATAATAAGGAGTCTAATTCCTAGATTTACAGCTCATGGGAAAAGAAGTCCATTGTCCATATATTAGGTGTTGATAATGCTGAATACTTACTTTCATAAATATGGAAACTACCACCAACCCATTAGGACTCTTTGCAGCTTCTGTGACATTTGTGTACAGCTCATGGTTATAGTGGATTAGTTGAACCTAGAAAACAGAGAAAGGAAAGATTACAATTAAACAGTAGCAAATCATACCATACACTGTTTGCAAATACTCTCTATACACCAATTGGTTTGTATTAGGATCCCATCTACGCTTAGGGTATTTTGTAACACTGCAATTTTTCAGAGGTTTGCAGCACGCATGATTTTAATAATTTCAGTCACCATCTGGCTCCAACTGGCACAGCACCAGCACATTTTCTTCTAAATTGCCAGTAAGTGAATTTACCCACATCAAGTTATGAATTGCACTGCAGGGGTTGACATCATTTCCCTGTTGCAACAGCACTTGCCATGGGCATCAAGTAATCTGTACTTTTCAGCCTCGAGCCAAACACTGAGGAGTCAGGGGTTGAAATATTTGAAGAAACATATGGGATACGGGTTTGGAACTGTTTAAGCCAGCACTCGCAGAATTTGTTGGCCCCGGATTTTACAAAATTGGTTACAAAAGCTTCTACAGTTAGGCACTTATTGTATTATTATTAACCAGGTTCTCCTTAGCTCCTACAGCTTTCCTTCTGCTTTTTAGTTTTATGATTTGCTGGGACTTTTAAATTATGAAGGCACAGTTCATCTTTCTCCCTGCGTATGTAAATGTCTTAGAACAGTGATATTTGAGTTGTCTGGGATCACAAGACACTGTTACCATTTATATTGCAATTTGTAGCCTCACTCTTTTTTTTTTTTAAAAAGAGGAACAACTTTAATGAACTTGAATGAATAGTGAGGCAGTTAAGTACTTCTAAGAATTTGAAAGGCTAGTTAGCTTTATTTAGCCTGAAGATATCTATTTTGGTTTTCAGATGTCAATTAGAAAAGTAAGGTCATTGTTCTGGCATTTTCAGACTTGCAGCAGCCTGAGGTATGTATTTAAAAATCAGGTGTGTCTTCCATGTGTTGGCATAAATCTAAAGGCTGTCCACTGAAATTTCTGGACTTACAAACTATGAACAAGATCAGTATTAACTTGATGTATGTCTGGTAGTCTTTTTAATTGTACAAATGGCCAAAGACTAATACTGTCAGTTAAGAAATTTCATCGTAGTCTGCTTTCCATGTTTATAATCAGGAAAAAAAAACCCCAAACACCTCAAAAAACCACTGAAATGGGGTTTAGTGCCTGCATTGGTGGCTTTGTCTTTTGGATGAATACAATGTCTGGTGCTTCAGCAGTGAAATACAATTGCAAAGGTTTCTCTGCAAGAATGATCTCCCTATATGATCTGCAATGCACAATCAAGTTACAAAGACAAAGCCTTGCTTTGCTATATGAATATGTATGTCCACCAACATGTGTACTAGTAGTGATCTGAATTATAACAGCATCCCAATTTATGTGTAACCTAGACCATTATTATCTCAGTCTATGATAAGTTGAGAAATAAATGATGCGTCCAAACTCTGGGAGTGTTCAGACAGTTCTATTTCCTACGCCCTGCCCTGACTGCAAAATGTATTCTTCTTATAAGTAAATTACTCAGAATCAGATCTTGTGAGCTTTCATAAAATAAAAATCCACCAAGCATTGTCCTCCCACTACCCCCCAAAACCGTTAGTGATGCTGTTTTAGTGCTTGGGCATTGATGTAAAAAAGGGTAGTGGAAATTCTGAAAGGAAAGAGAATATTTGCATTAGTAAGATTAGAAGATCTTTGGCACAGTGCTTTACTATTTACAGTTAATGGTTCACAGACCAAAAAAATAAGGTAAGGGTCAAAATTACTGCTATAATGTGTTAATTTCAGTTACTTCTGTCCTGTCCTGATTGGGAACTATTGGTTGACCTTTTTACAATTCACAGAGTAGGCATTTTTTAAGGCAAGCATACAAACCAAACTGGAACGAAAAAGTAAAAATGTCAAAGCAGCCAATGAAGTCATCTACTAAATTCTGACAGCTAGAAAGCAGGATGGATGCAGTATGTTTTCTAAAGGTCTTGTAAAGAATTAATGAGAGCATTTACTCTATAGCACAAAGAGGTTATAGGCTCATTAGTCATCACTTTGTGGTACTACTGAACTTTGATAACATCATGGTTCTGGGGACTATGCACTCACTAAAATTTTTAGGCTTAGTAACATGTTTTTCTTTTTATGTACAACTATTCACTCTGGCAGCCAAACTAACTTGTGAATTATCAAGGAAATAAGTGATGAAATCTGCTTTAAACTAGAATTCCTTCTGTGCAAAGTCCCAGAATAACAATGGATTAGATTAGTTTATTTAACAACCTAAAATGTCTAGTGCAGGAATAGGTAAAAGTGAGGACCAAATTCTCATTCCACCCATGGAACCGCTGAGTCAATGTCAAATTCTAATTTTTACTGTTGGGACTTATGGAAATAAAACTCCCAAGTACGTATGGCCACGTGTAGGATATTTGTCCCAGAGTCACTGTCGTGGTTTAACCCCAGCCACCAACTAAGCACCACGCAGCCGCTCACTCACTCCCCCCCCATCCAGTGGGATGGGGGAGAAAATCAGGAAAAGAAGTAAAACTCCTGGGTTGAGATAAGAATGGTTTAATAGAACAGAAGAGAAGAAACTAATAATGATAATGATAACACTAATAAAATGACAACAGCAATAATAAAAGGATTGGAATGTACAAATGATGCACAGTGCAATTGCTCACCACCTGCCGATCGACACCCAGTTAGTCCCCAAGCGGCGATTCCCTGCCCCCGCTTCCCAGTTCCTATACTGGATGTGACGTCCCATGGTATGGAATACCACGTTGGCCAGTTTGGGTCAGCTGCCCTGGCTGTGTCCTGTGCCAACTTCTTGTGCGCCTCCAGCTTCCTCGCTGGCTGGGCATCAGAAGCTGAAAAATCCTTGATTTTAGACTAAACACTACTTAGCAACTGAAAACATCAGCGTTATCAACATTCTTTGCATACTGAACTCAAAACATAGCACTGTACCAGCTACTAGGAAGACAGTTAACTCTATCCCAGCTGAAACCAGGACAGTCACTGCAAGGAGCCTACCCTCCAGTGCATTTCTAGTCTTGCATAAGACGTTATATTGCAATGACCGATATGGGCATCAGCATGTAATAGTGTCCCAGCTCTCTTGGAGATCTCTCTCCATGTTAGAAAGAGACACAATTCACTCTCTGCAAAACTCACATCCAGACTGCAGGCAGTCAATAGGTATTTGTCGGAATGAGTTAACAGACTCGAACTGATTAGAAATTAGAACAGTTATTTCCTTTGCTGATCTATAAATGATCTCTCCATCCCGTATTGCACTGCCTTCATGATAAAAGTACTTGTCTGAGAGCTTTGGCATTCTTTACCAGTGCTTTCAAGCAGTTTTCATTTCAAGTTTCCTATTCCTGCAGATTTGTGTGCCTCTGCCCCATTCTGCCTCTCCTCATCACATCTCAGTTTGGTAATGAACCGTTTTGGAGAGCGTGCTTGAGAAATCTTGCTTTGCTGTAGTTTGAAAATATCCCCTTGCCTTGCTATGAATTATTGTTTCTCAGAGATCCCAGTGCTGAATGAAGACAGAGTTGTATCCTTCCTCCCTGCACCGAAATTAATTTTAAAGCTGTTTCCATGGTACCATGGTTAAATTAATTAGGTTTTTGGTTTGGATTTTTTTTTTAATTTTTTTTTTTTTTTTTTAAAGATTGCCCATGTAAGGAGACATCATTTTCAAAGTTTCTGATATGGAACAGGCTAATTTAGAAAGCTACAAATGAATAAAGATGTCTTAGACATAGAATATTATATGCAGGATAAAAAATATAATTTCCTATTAAATTCCTTCTTTTGAGAAAAATTTCTTTAAAGTTGCCTGCAATATCTGTAATCTTACAGTCTGTATTAAATATTACTAGAGTCTTCCATGAAGGTGAAGCCACACATAACTAAAATTGCTCATATGTGAAAATCTCACTTTTTCAAATGATGACACTGTATTAGAAACAAAGCACAACAAGAGCAAACTTGCAATGCTGAAAATACCCTTTCATTCTAGTTTGAGTTTCAGGGCTCAAACACAATACAGAATCTTGTTATAAGCTATTGATTTTCTTTGGAAGATTCCCCCTTTAAGATTAATTTGCCACAGAACAACTGATAGCTCTTTGTTTTCTTCGAGCTATAGAAGTTCTACTTTTCAGGGAGAAAAGGAGAATTAAGATTAATTACTCTCTTTTAGCTGATGAAAAATCCAGAATGTGCCCTTGTTCCATCACCCAAGAATGTGCACTGGACCAGGAGCAGACACAGCACTTTTCAGACACCTGAGGTTGGCAGTGTTGGAAATGTCAGCAGGAGCTGACGACAGCATGTTAGGGGTAATTTACTGAGAACGCTCTCCTCAGCCTGGTAGGCTGTGTCTTTGGGGCAAAAGAATACAGATAGGCTGATAGTATGGATCATGTGCTGGCCACCATGGGGAAAACATCTAATTCTCTTTCCCAACACGTATGCATGTGTATTTATAATGGTAATAACCTGTTCTTTGCCTGTACTTTGATAAAGTTCAGTCCTGTACTCAAAGTACTCATATTGTTTGCACTGGTTTTCCTCTGCAATGCATTTTGCTGTTTTTCTTGATCCTTCACCCAGGTGAAATGTGCATCTTTGGGCAGAGCTAGTAGCAGGATATTTTTTGTGTGGCATTTGACCAAGGCTCTTTGGCTAAGCAAAAGGAGGCAGTTTGCTGTGTTGATGGTTGCAGGTGCCAAAAATTCCAGGGACTCTTTTCAGCAATCTTTTAGCAATTTTTTTAACTTGGACAAAGACCATCTGTGAATTACAGAGCTCTGATCTAGTGTGCACACATAACTCTTTTATAAATGTTAGATTACTGTGAGATGTTCTGCTGCAGTGAGACATTGAGAAATATGAAACTGAGGGAATTTAGAGTATCGGTACTTTACACACAAATGTTTCCATAGTCCTCTTGGGAGTAATGGAATACCCTTTATTCTCACTTAGAAGTGTTATAATTGAGTGCATAAACA